AAGTATATAAGAAGCCTATATAATATACTATCAAACATCGTGAATAAGGGGTATAACAATAAATCAACGCGGCATGAATCGAGAACTAAGAAAGCACTTCTCTCTCTCTCAATAGGTCTCTTAGACAGGCGCTAAGGCGTCAAATATAACCCTCAATGCGATTTCATCTTAAGAGCAAACAGCGTCTCCGTTTATATACATATATATAACCAAACTAATTGCACACGATTATCCAGCTGTTGAATCGTTGAACGGTTACCAAGCTGAAAGAACAAATTCCATTGAGTGGGAAACAGAAATTATTCGAAGCGAAAAAGAGTTCATTGTGAAGAAAATGCCTCTTTACCGCTTAATTAAGTACATTTGAACTTGAACAAGAAGGGAGCGTAGAGAGAGCGAGAAGGATCGGTCTCTTCTCCACTAACGCTCAAGGACCCTTCAAATAAGTACATGAAAGTAATATTGTACTATACTTCTTTAATGGTTTAAAACAATAGAAATGATGTTTGACGATTGTCATGTGTCAGCTAATAATCATATAAAATCCAGTATTCTTTGATGACGAAAAGAATAAAGGGGTGCTACACAGAAGGCGTGTGTTCGACGGTTGTTACGTTTTTTTGGATAACGAAACGATCTAAAGGGTTCAACATCAGTTTCGTCCCTTTTAAGTCTTGTACCGGACGAGGGTCATATTGTAACTATACGAATTTAGAGGCGGAGTTTTCATTATTTTTTTTCTTGGGGTGGGGATATAGAATAGAAAAATCGTTTGTGCAGCATCAGACATAAAAGGGTTTGTTTAATGGCGATTGCCAGTATGTAGAGTAAATATAAACTGACACTAATATTAAGAAGACAAAATATAAACATATCCACTGAACCGTAAATGTTACTCCTAATTTAAACCATTTTAATTTATTTTATAAATCATTTTTTTTTTCCTACACTGACAAAAAGATTTTGTTTTCATCAGTAAAGGAATTTTGTACTAATTTTCATTAAATCAACAACAAATCAAATAATTTGAAAAAATCTAGTTTAATTAACAAAAAAGAGGCGCACAAGAGAAGATAATTACAAAATCGATATATTATATACATATAAAATCAACAATAAATCAAATAATTCGAAAAATAGAGATAGAGATCTTATAACGGAAAATCGATACAATTTGTGACAGGAAATCGATTTCACTTGGAGTAAAAATGAAAAACAGGCTGTTGAAAGGCAAATGCAAGTACAATTTAAGTATATCATTTACGCATATATGTTATGGAGAATAAATTTGCATACATATTTTGCATATAGAACAAGTGCTGATTCCAATCAGTAGTCGATTTCAATCAACACACATACACACACATATATATATATATATTTATAAAGTAGCTATCAATTCGATCGATCTGTGAATCAAAATGGTTTTTTGGGAGAACCCTCGAATCGGTCAGCTGCCCGTCTAACTTTTGTTTACGTGGCTGACGTTGCAAGTTCGACCCCAAATGGCGACTGCAAGTTTTTTAGCGAATTTAATATTTATACCGAATGACTGATGACTGTAATAAAGAAACAGGGTTGCATTGTTCGAAACGTTTGTGTCATTGATCGATACGTTGGGAAAAAAAAATACAGGTATTCCGTCACCCCGTGACTTAAACCGTATATATATGCTGAGTGGATTTCGAGTAATCGTTCTTCGTTTTGCAAGATGATTCGTGTATTTAGTTGTTGAAAATAAAAAAAAAAGGAGAAAAACAGAGAGAGAAGGAAATTGGAACTTCTAGACAGCTGCGCCCAAGTGAGATTTCGTTTATCTCATTCTCACCATCCATATGTAAAGAATCTTTCTCAAGAGTAAGAGAGAGAGGAACAGTCGAAGAAGAACCGAGAAATCATTAACGGATCATTACTGTTTGACCGTGGCTATGGGGCTCTTGAAACAAAACCATTAATGATTTCTATTTGTATTCGTTCGACGGCGAAGGTGGGTTTCTCGAACAGTGAGAGAGAGAGAGACTCTCACTAGTGAATTATGTGAGAAGTTGGCTTATTTTCGTTAAGTCGGACCCCCGGCGCGCGAACAAATCGTCCCTCGCTGCCGCTTCGCATCGCTTTTGTTTTTCGATTTTTCGAGCTTGGGCGAGTATTGGAAATCACCGAAAACCAAATGTATAAAGTCATTCGCTACGCTTCGGTATCTATTTGCCTTTTTCTATATATATACTCTTTCATCATGGGAGAAAATTGGAAACGAACAAGGACAATGTAAAAAAAAAAAAAATTTTCAGAAAAGATATGAAATTATTACTATTAGTCAAACTAAATGCCCGTTTTTTCTATCCATTAAAGCTCCAGATTACATACAAAAGATAAAATGCTACTTGTTTTTTTATGACTCAAATTACAAATTGAATTCTTATCAACGGATTTTTGCAAGTAAAAAATAAATTCAGAAATAGGCTATATTTATTATTATTATTTCAAGTAGGTATTAAATATAAAACAGAACATTAATTAATATAATTAACTGTTGCATATTAGCTAGATACTTAGTTGAGTTAACGAGACGATTAATTGATGCAACAAAGAAACTGGTTATATAGTTGGGGGACAATGAACTATATATATATATATGTATGTTTCTATATTGTGTAAATAAAGCTTTAAATATGTGCAATGTGCACATTTGCTTTTTAGAACACCAGAGAGAGAAAAATTACACTTTGCAAAAGATAATTATTTTAATTTATCTCCGAGCAAAATCTACTGCAAAATATTTTGAACTTTCTGTTGAAAACAACACGAAAATTCGTAAATATTACCCACATGTTATTTGAGTAAACACCAGTCTGGTTTCGTTTCAAGTATAACGCGAGAAAGAGAGAGAGAGACGTATTTCTCTCATCCTTTCCTAAAAGTTGCTTTCTCGAGACGTCGCGACGCTTTTGATATTTATTGCCAATTGCAAAAATGATGTTCCTATATAAGCTAATCTCTTGAGCGGCGCCGCATATACATTCAATTCGCGCGCTTTTAGTTAAAAGCGTTGGCGTGTCATCTGTAAAAACATGACTTGTAATTGGCCCGTAATATTTATTGTAATTTCAAACACGTGAAACTGTCTACTCAAAATGAAGAGAGAGAGAGAGAGACGCTCATCGCCGTTTAGTAATTACCAGCGCAATCTTTCTCAACAAGATAGTATAGGGTCGTTTCAGCATCTTACGACCTCGTTGGACTAAAGATTTATTCTGATTTCATGCCCTCGACAAATATCCATAACCACAAACGAATAAGGACCTCCAACGTTTAGTGTACAAGTCTATACAATAATTGACTCTAACTTTTGCGACTCGCAATTTATAATGTACACTTAGAAAACCGCACTGTATCGTATCAATTAAATTTTATTTAACAGCATCCAATTGTTTGGTCCACGGTTAATTTTGTTGGGAATTTCACAGAAAAATAAAAGGCATTAAAATAAGCTGCAACGCTTCTTATTTTAATCCAATTTTGCTTATTTTAATACCAAAATGGATTAAAATAAGCAAAATTGGATTAAAATAAGAAGCGTTGCAGCTTATTTTAATGCCTTTTAATTTTCTGTGTTCACTATTAAAAATTAAATAATTTTTTTGCAATTAACAAAATTTTGGTATTCAACTAAAATATTCGTCCGATTCTTTTTTTAAAACCAAAATTTGGATTTTACTCTTGGTAGTCAGTGGAAAAATATAAAAAAAAATATGGGGTAATTTTAAATTCTTTTGAATGATAATTTCGTAAGTATTAAAAAAATGTAATAAAGTAAAAAAATTTTTGCAGAAAAACAATTGCATGTTTATGATTATTTTTTGGTTTAAATATAAATTTCTAACCTTAGTCTGCAATCGATGATATACTTTCGATGATAAGATCTTCAAGAAACACAGACACACACGCGATTTAAAAAATTTCGTATACACTCCCGAAACGACGTTTAAATGAAATAAATAAAATATACTTTTTTTAAAAAAATTTAAGCGATCGCGGTTTTAAGAATTTCGAACACTCCCGAAACAAAAAAAATTTTACTAAAGTGACAAAAAAAAATTAACTTTATCTAACATTTCGTTCGCGATTTAAAATGTTCGAACACTCCCGATTTTATTTATATACTAATATTCAACTGTGAAAATATCAAATAAAAAACAAGATAAAAATAAATTATTTTTGAAAAATTTTACACTCCCGTTGAGAACGTCTAAACAGGTCAATACACGAATTGCAACTGATTTGATTATATTTTTATTATTATCCATCCGCAATGTTTATGATCTTTGGTCTAAGGTATATCCTTTGTGCTTCAATGTAAACATATACAGCTCGGGATGTGCGCAGGTATAAAGATAATTTTAAAATTGCTTCAATATTTAAATAATATAATATACAATTAAAATTTTTGGAAATTATAATTTTTCAATTTCAATATTATTTCACATTATTGTTATTCTACAATTTTAAATTTCGATTTAGAATTAACAGAAAACACACTCTTTAAAAATGCTATTGTAAAAAAAGTATTGTATTGATTAAAATAATTTTTTTTGGACATTATTATACATAATATAGAGAGTATTAAAAAAAAATTTTGAGTATTTTTAATTCATTTTGAAAGCGTGTTTCAAAAGTTACCATTTTGTGGAACGTAACTTTCCGAACAACTTATAAACATATCAAAAAATTCAAATGGTATTCTATTCATAAGGGTTAATACTAGACAATAAACCTAAAACCAAATTTTTCTGAATAAATTAAAATTTTTTTATACCTTTTTTTAATGAAAAATTAAAAAAAAACCGCTGTATTTTTGAAAATATTTATTCCCTGTATGAAAAAAATAGGGGGATAATAAAATGAAACTTCAAAGGTTTATTGTCTAGTTTTTTAGATAATAGAATAGTTTCTTTTATTTTTTAAAATCAGTTGAGTAGATTTTGAGAAAAGTTACTCACCAGTTCGAAAAGGTACTTTTTGAAAGCCGCCATCTGTAGCTGCTAAAATGAATTAAAAATACTCAAAAAAAATTTTTCAATACTCTCCATCTTATATATAATAAAAAAAAAATAGAGACAATATTTTAAAGAGAAAATTGTACATCTGATAACTGATATCCCTCTAAATTTATCTTTCAGAAAATATAAAATAATATTCAAATGACTTTAAAACAGGACATATCACATCATTAATGCATTTAGTATATGAACATGCCTCCTAAGGTCATAAATATTCTCAAACAATTAAACCGATCTACTTTGTTAGCAATTGCGTTTAAAAATTTCGAACTTATTAATGGATTTTCAATTACAGTCATTTAATATAATTCAAAGTATATATACTTTTGACCTTTAACAAGCAAGATAATATATTTAACAACCAATAAGACTTGATCATCAAAAAATATAATATATTCAAATTTCTTAACATTATTTCAATATACATCATTATTAAGACTAATGTCTTTTATAATTATATATGACTTCGAAAAATAATTATAGAAAAAAAAAATTATTAAAAAGAATATAGAAAAAACATAAAAAGAAATTATATTATATAAAAATATTTTATTTTATTATATATTTATACTCTTTTGACTGCTGTACGACAATATTTATAAGAAAAACTCAAAAAATGTTCGCAAAAGATAATTTTACTGCACTTTCATAAAAGGCAAAAGATTAAGAACTCGATATACAACATTTGCCCCTATAAGCTGACTTTATTTCCATAAACAACTCTTTTTCATAAAAAGATGTTGACTGATTAAGTCAACGTTTGATTGTAATTGCTTAGCGAAGGCGCAATCATAAAGAAGTAGCATGTCGAGTGGGTCAGTAAATTAAACTCAGATGACATATCAAAAGATTGTTCCTATTTCTCACACTTTTACATTGAAACTGAGCTCAGGCGACGATTACCCCGGATCAAAAACACTCGATACTTATATATAGTTTGCGAGGTCATATGCGAACACACGCAAACACATTTATGTACTTAAACAAGTACCTACTTTAAAAAAAAAAACATTATACAGGTTATAAACTTAGATCACGCAGATATAAATCTCACCTATTTTACAAATATTTTTACAAATATTTTTACAAATATTTTTAACAAGTAAAAATATTTTACAAAATTAAATCTTTACATTTGTTGAAATTAGAACTATTTCGCGATTTTTTTATTCCAATTTAAATCAAAGCCAAAAGAGGAAGAGGAGTCGGCAATTTTGTATCATCCAGGAGTTCAAAAGAGGGAAGAACTTCGCTGCCATGTAACTTTACTCAAAGATTTTTCTACCTGGAACTCAGCAGCTCTGACAGAAGCAAATCCGCCCACAAAAGTAATCTCAAAACCTCGGCACAACTGATTCATCAACGAGAGAAATAAAATAAAGAGGCCAACAGTCGAAAAAGTAAAAGGAACCAATATATACCCTCCCTATTGTATATTTCAATGATCCTCTATATGAGACTGTTTCCTATACATATATATATGTATATGTGAATAACGAATAAGTTCTAAAACATTTACTCTTGCCATATAGCTCGTGCCTCTTTCCCGCGACACGCCCTATTGCATATAAATAACCTTTTTAATTTTCACTCAAGACAAATGATTTAATTTATTCTATCAATTACTCTGCGGTAGGAGTGTCGATGTTTGGTTTTCATTTCGAATCTCAATACATATGCACAGAACAAAAGCATAAACGAAAAACTGAATATATATATTTACTACTCCTTTTTTCCTCTTCTATTTCTTTTATGTTTCTTGCGTGCAAAAATTTTCCAATTTAAATTATAATGTGTAATTTTTAATCCGAATCATTGAACAAGTGATAAACTCAAAATGAGTGATGTACGCTACTCAATTTGAAATGCATCAAAAATGTGCCTCGTAGGTGGCGCTACATACAAGTTTTTTCTGTGATAGAAGCAAAAAAAAAAAATATTATATCCAATCTTTTACCGAATTTATTATATTATGATATAATTAGAAATTCAGTAATTTTCGAGATATATAAATAAAGCGAAATCATCTTGTGAAAATAGCACCAGATTATGTTGCAATATGAAGATTGAGAGAGAAGATGAGGGCCATCTGAGAGATAAAAGAAAGAGGCAATACCTCTATATTATATAGTTACAGAAGAATGAGAGAGAAAGAGATGGTTATACTCCAATCGGGTAGAATGAAACTAACAAATGAAATACCCACGCCAACAAGGCGATCCCTCGATTCTTCCTTTCTTTCACGTTCGTTGGACACTCATATAACCGGACTCGAATCACTCGCGTCAAAGGAACGCGAGGGTGATCTCAGATAAAACCAACAGCAAATATGTAACTAAACTCGAAAATGGTATACGGCAGCCGCACTCGCTTATATTTTTCATGCACTTATGGATATATTCCTCATCTCTTTTTTTGCTTTTATCTTTTCCTTTTTTTTCTCATATAAACGATATTTGCGAGCCTTTCGCAAAATTTCTCATTCTTTATAGTATATAATTTTTTTTAAATCCCAGTTCTTTTCAACTGAACCCTAATTTTACGAACTATTTAACTTTCTTTTTAATTTGTTCTAAAATGTTCAAAATTTCTGCACGGGGGTCACTAAACAGTTTACAACTCTTGTCACGTGATAATAAAAGAATTGATAACTGTATACACAGTTTGCGTGATCCAAGATTTATCAGTCAATTATTTAATCGAAACATCTGGAAGTGTCACGGATAAAAATTTAATCCGGCAGCAAACATGTAATTAGCTCGAGAATTTTATATCCATATGCTCTCGATAAATTTTACTTCTATACAGAGTAGAAATATTATGTAATGTTCAACCGTCACCTGTCATGTGGCACCTCATTATAAGATAAATTTTATAGGTATATATCTACTCATAAATATAACGTATTATATTCTATAATGTTACCAGTATAATTTAGTATATATATACGCTTCGTCTATAATGTGCGAAATGTTGTTTTTAGATGTCATGCCAAAAATCAAGTTTCTTTTTCAATAATTGAAACACGCTAATAATGACATGATAAATATAACATCATACTATAAAACACAAAGTTGCGTGACAATCGTTTTAATGCCCTATATTACAGATGGTGTCGTGATATATTTTTACATACCTGCACGACACGAAACGCATCAAAACTATTTTTTATCTTATTCTTTTGTTTAATCGCACATCAGGATGTATCAATGTCAAGTCCTAATAACACCTCAATTCTTCTTCTTCTTGCAGCCACAAACATCCGTATAACAACGGTCCAGTGGGTAATTTTAAACAATGATATAATTATACAGATCTTACATCATTTTATCTCGATTGCTCTTGAATTATACAAAAGTTAACACCCATTGCTGTCCATTCTGCGTATAACAGTGATCTATGTGCGTTGCGGTCATCTTCTCACGCATCATATTTGCACCTTAGGCTCAGGTCTAGACTCGTATATAACAAACACACTATATACTTTTCAAACATTCATCATTATAAGTCAGTATTATTTTGACACAAAATTTTTTTTTGTAACAATTGTTATATTATACAACCGTTGATTTGTTATACAAAAATTGTACAACTGAACATAATTTACAATTAAAATTAAAAATATATAACAAAATAATATTTTGAATTAGTAGGTGGCGCTACATTTTATGTCTTTCATTTTGAAATGAGACCAGGTTTTTTCTTTGATATATAAGTAACAACAATAAGACGGTTATGAAAAATTTTGTCAGTTCGCATATTCTTTGTTTTTTTTGTCGTTTCTTTCATTCTTCTATTTCTATAGTTCATTTTGGACAATAGCAATTTTTGTCAATTATGAAACGAGTTCTCCGGCTGCAAATACTGATTTTCATATGAAAGCAAAAAATATATGCAATCACATATATAATAAAGCTTTAAAAAAAAATCTTTCTTTTTGAATATTTTTCCTTTTTTTAAAAAGATTTTTTTGCGGTCAGGGACCCGTATAGCGATCGATTCGATCAGTTTGTATTATATTTTACAGGTTTGTTATGCTCGGACGAATTGTCTTCGCGCGCCGCCTTTCTTTTGTCGATTCGATCCGGTATTGTCGTTTCCCGACGTCCGTCATGATTTTAAAATAAAAAAAAAAAAAAACTTATTTATCGTACTGATTTTTAATTTATATAAAACTTCCCTCTTAAAAAAATTATTTTACGGACAGCAACCTTTTCTGATTCTTTAATAGAGAGGCAATTTAGTGGTTTCAAGGTCAAAATCCGAATGAAATTAACACCGCCTATAATCTATCATTCTTTTTCCATTTCTGAATTGTAGTTTGGGTCTGAGCAAAATTGATTGCATTTGCATCAAACGAGAATTCATTGTTGTTTTTATATTTCTTTAATTTCGTTCAGTGATATTAGCTGTGTGTTTTTTACGAGCGTTAATGATTCACGAGTTTAATTCCTCGGTGGTCCGTACGTCCTTGAAGGTGGCGCGAGGTTTATAAACACTTTTTTTTTCCCCAACTGAGAATTTATCCGCCATTAAATTACTATTTAATTCCCAGATTGGCCCGTGCCATTTTTATTCCTCCGTAACATAATTCTGCCCTACCACGGAAAAATAGTTTACAGATTTTTGTAAGAGGAAACAATTTAGGACATCTATAGGATAAATTTAGATACTAATTATAACCTCCGTTGGTAGATGGCGCAGGAGTGAATTTCTCAGGAATTGTTTTCTATGGTAATAATTACTAAACAGAATGGGAATATTTTTGGAAAAAGAGTTAACTGACAATATAAATGCACACATATATATGCGCTCACGTGATAAGAAGAAATGATTGCTTATGTAAATAAATGGGAGAAAATGGCGGAAAAATATTGCAAATGAAGGAAAATAAAAAGGATATATGCGTGTATCACGCGAACGGACCGCACGCGTGTAAAAGATGGTTTACAAAGCGTCTTATTTCTTGACTATGCGCACAT